GCTGTAATCTGTCAGCCTGACCAGGCTGTGTTTGGCTGTGAAGAGTCCAGACGCAGGTGATGCTGACCTGTGGCCTAAAGGACAGAGGCTTTCACTGGCTATAATGGCATTAGTATAATTAAAACTGAATTCAAAAGGGCAATATAGCAGAGGAAATAGAGTGCTGATGTAATCTCCACAGGCTCTCCCACCCATATTTTTTTTTATTTTTTTTTTTTTGTACTCTGAATATCAAGGTAGAAAAGGGGAGAGCGTTCAGACCCTGTTGCTAAAGCAGAGAGAGAGATTTTAGCATATTCACATGTCTGGCTGGTCTTTCTTTTTCCTACATCTGATGCCTCTCCGCTGGCTGCTTTGGTGCTTCACTTGGTTGGCCTTGTTGTTTTTGCTGCGGTTTCTAGTCGCTAGCTAGCAGCTCCCTGTGGATATGTGATGCCGTGCCCCTGGCTGCAGTTCACACACTCACCCTGCCTCTCTTTTTCAGTCGGCGAGGGGGAAAGAGAAAAAGAAAGAGAGAGAGAGAGAGAGAGGATGTTTACCATGCTGTGGAGCTGCCTGCTTCCCAGCTTGTCTGCCTCAGCCCCAGCCTCAGACCAGAGACAGAGAGAGAGAGCAAGAGAGAGAGAGAGAGAGGGAGACGGAGACGCAGGGGGAGGGAGCACTGCATCTTTCTTTCCTTCCCTCCCTCCCTCTTTTTGCGCCAATTTTCCCTTCCTCCACTCTTGCTTTTATATTTCTTGTCTTCGCCTGCCCTCTAAAGGCCAAAGGGCTTTGCGCTCTGTATGTATATGTATGCGTGTGTGTGCGTGCGTGTGTGTGTGTGTAGCAGACTGCATCTGGCTGGTGCATCAGGCAGTAGCTTTTGCTCAGTATGTGAATTCGCTCCCTCTGCTGTAGCTTCAGAGCTGAGGGCTTAGCAGGGCATTTTCACATTCATGTACACACACACACACGCACACACTCTCTCACACACACACACACACACACACATAAAGGATGGTGTAATTACCCTGTGCTCTCTTGTAATCCCCCAGGTGTTGTATTTATCTCCACTGCAGCATATCTGACACCCAGCGCCAATACCTGGATTCACTTCAGTCGCCGTCCCTGCACCAAAACCATCCCCCAGCCTTTAGTCTCATAACAGTGCGTGTGTGTGTGTGTGTGTGTGTGTGTGTGTATATATATATATATATATGTGTGTGTGTATTACATTACAAACAGCAAGTGATGCTATTTTCATGTCTTATATTAGAAAATATGTAATTTTGCACTGGCTATGACCGTTGATGTCTGTATTAAGTGCTGCTGAGCTGTGCAGTGCAACATTAGAGCGTGTTTTATATCCAGTGATGAATGATAAAGAGCTGAACTGATTCTCTTGTGCAGTAGATGAAACTTACAAGCACAGTATAGACAGGGAGGAGAAGGAATTTAACATTCCTGGAGAATATAAAGACAGAAGCGGATGCTTAATGCAAATAAAAAAAAAAAGAGAAAGTCAGGCGGACAAAAATGCAAGTGTGACAAACGACAGACACCACACACCGACATACACGGTTAGCTTTCAGGCAGACAGATCTACAATCAAACACTCAGCTGTACAGTCAGTTGTACCGGCTTTCAGACAAGCCGAGCCCAGGGCCGTGCTGCAGGGGCCCTCTCCTCCCCACACCAGTGTCATCCCTCCAGTTGGAGCCTGTCTGTCAGGCGGGTTTGACACGATGACGGCGGGAAAAATGTAAAAGTGTGCTTCCCAATCTTGTATTTTTCTCCCTCATGCTGACGACTTGCATCTTGTACATGTGTGAGCACACAGGACTGTAGTTGAGAAAAGTAAGAGGCGGATTCGATTGAAAGCACTGGAGCTGATTGCCGTCTCTTTATTTTGGAGGGACTTTTTGGACTGGCAACTTTTTTTTCACACAAGGTTTCTCTTGTTCGACAATACAGTTGTAATTGGGAGTCCGACTTGTAGTGTAAGTGCAGCTTTGTGGTGCTTTATGCTTAAATTATCCCTATTTCTGTTACATTCATTTACATATCTTTGTTGCTGCAACAAGCCATTTTCCCATGAGAGGAGAGCACACTGTAGGAGTTTCATCTTATTTAACTGATGCATGGGATTCATGCATTTCAAGAGTGACTAGTGTAAAGTAATTTATAATTTTAGTTCATGCACACATACTCTATGTATGTATGTATTCCCTGCACATGTTTTATTTTTAATGTGAACTTGGCCCTTTTTTGTCAATTTCTGTGTTCTCTATGTTCTGTAGCAGGTACAAAGCCCCTGTGTTGTGCCAGCTGAAGAAAAGTACTGCTGCATTTTTGACGAATGGAAAAGAATTAACAAGGAGTGAGAGAATTAAACCTTGTCCTCCATTTTTTCTTTTCTTCACCTTTGGTTGAAAACACTCCACAGAGTGCTTGTGTTCATGGTCCAGACTTAAAGGCCTCTTGCAGAGTTCAGTCCAAGGCTGGTTCTCTCAAAGGAAGGCACAGAACAGGATGCAGTGTGAAGAAAAACAGCCTCAGTCTTCAAAAGCTACTCCTTCTTTTTTTGTAATGCTCATCTGGAGGTAACAAAGATGGATCCGTTTTTCAGCAGACATGGTGTTGCATGTGTCCGTGTGTCTGTATGGGGTACTGTAGTAGTTTCTTATAAAAAAATAAATAAAAAAAAGCCTTTCTACATTGTGTCACACTATGGTTGGCTTCACACATTACAGCCACTCCTACTGAATGAGCGAGGACAGCTTGTTATAGAAACCTGGTGATTATGACCTGCTGTGAACAACCTCACTTTCTCTCACTGACACACACACATACACACACACCACCACCACCACCACCACCACATTGCCCCGTCTCCCTCCCCTCTGCCTTTCTCTTGTGGCCACTTTGATCAAATCTGTGCTCTTACGTCCTTGACTGCTGCCCCCGCCGCCTGACCCCTGCATTTGAAATTTCCCCGCTTATGTAAAAGTTTATGTAGATTAATGCCACAATTTATGCAGATTGAGTTTTTGCCACTCAGGCTTGAAGCACTAAAAGGTAGACGAGCGCTGACCTTCCCCACTAACAGCTACGTGAGCTCTCACCGATTATCTCATAACTGCTGCTCACAGTTCTGTGTTAGTTCTGTGGCAGACAGACAGATGGAGAGCAATTTCAGAATTCACAATGTTCCATTTTTAACTTTTTTTTTTCTTTCTTTTTTTTTTTTTTTAAAGTGTCATTTAAAACAAGTCTGTCTTTTTGTCAAAATGGCATTTGGGAGGGTTAGTATGTGTGGTTTATATCACAATGCAACACACACGCACAGACACACACAATTGTCCCTCCTTTAAAATATCATGCTTCCTGCGGCCCCACAGTGTCTGTCAAACAGCAACAACTGCCAGCAGTGGTATCAGGCCGTCTGTGTGTCACACCGAGCCTCCACAGCACCGTAAACTCATTCACAAGTGGCAGCGGCATTGCTGAGGTTGAACAGTCAAGTGCCATCAAGACCAGATTGCCATAGAAATGGGTCTATCTGAAAGCAAACAAAGGGCTCACACTAGACTCGACCTGCTCCATGTAGGCTAAGTGCGCACAGGCCTGTCTGACACTGGAAAATGGCTTTCAGTCTGAACAGACAAAGCAGTAGAGTAGAGAGAGGAGACGGTAAATGTCACCATTATAACTTTGCTGGCTTCTTAAGAGAGGAGAAAATAAGTGTTACATTCAGCTAGGACTGTCATATTCAGTTTGAATGTAGTGAAGCAGGGCTAAAAGGGCAAAGCCAAGGTTACTGGAGATGTGTTGAATGCATTGGAAAGTAGTACTTATTGTACGATTTTTAAAATTGATGTGCCCCTTTCACTAAAAGAATACTGCTGATCTTCATTGAAACTGCAAGCCTAGACACAGTATTTGTAGCACCGACACAAATGATTTGGATTAACGTGGAACTCTGCTGTTACAAATCATCCTCACAAACCACTTTCTCTATAAAGTGCGAACTTTTAACGGAGCAATTTTCTGATGTCACAGTCAAGGTCTGTTGTGAGTTTGTCACCCCCACTAGCTCCCTGTGTTACTGATGATAGCAATGAGCTCGCTCACAGCATTACATCAAAGTAAAAAAAGCTAACAGGAAAGCAGAGGCTCCATCAGGTCACTGACCCCACCCCCACAAAGTGACCTGCCAGTCACACAGTTAAGACATGGTGTCAGCTGAAGTTAGTGCTGAAGTGAGTTAAAAGCCCTGGCTGGCACTGAGGTCCAGTGGGAAAACAGCTGTTCACTTATTACACTCCACACTTTGCTGTACTGTATGTACGTTCTACTGTATAGCATATGCGATCCTGTGCGCGTCTGTCTGTGTGCTATTTATATCTGTTGTTGTGTCCTGCCGTCGACCCGTGCAGCGTCTCTGATTTGATAACGACGCAGCGGCCTGCAGTAGCTTGGCTGCATGTCAGTGTGATCTGCGTCATGATGTTGTCACTGATGCTTCAGCTGTCTGTTTACATTAGACTCATTAACCTCCAATCTGCCACTTTAAAATCAGATTGAATCCTGCTGTATTTCAGCTTCCGAAAACTACAGGTGGATGTTACTTAAGATTACCATGTCTAAATTCAAATTCATCACCAAATGGCAATTTTTTTATAAGCATTTTCAGATGATGTCACACATGAACAAGAGCACATCCCTCATTTCTTTAAAACAGGCAACTTAGTGAGAGTAGAAGAATACTGGGGAGGTCAAATGTTGAAGTAGTTTTTGCATTTAGATTTCCTGTTTTGTCATGTTGTGTGCGTGAACGCTTTGATATGCTCAAAGTGCCCATGCATCCGCTTTGTTTCAAGCAGCTGTTGTATGCACTATGTACAGTATGTCACACTTGCAAGGAGTACGTAGTAGGCTTGAGTTGTGATGGATAATGTCTATAATCACAGAGAGTAAAGGTTGTGTGATCTGATCCTGTACGCCTCTGTCCTCTGCAGGTTCAGTTCTCCTCAGGCAGACTGATGGAGACGGCCGGGTGGCGCTGGATCTGGTCTCTGCAACAAGTCAGAGGGAGGAGCTCCTCCACAGCGCGCAGGTCGGAGACTCAGCCCTGAGAAACAAAGTGACGGAGGTGTTGAACCTTCCCCTCCTGGAGGCTGGATCCTCTCTGCTGGCCCATCTAATTTTCTGCTACCGACAGGAGAAGGGCCTGCCCAGCCGCACGCAACCAAGCGATAAGGCCCACAGCCTGGGCTACAGGCTGGTCAGAGCTTTGGAGACGCTATCCTTCCAGAAAGTGACTTCGGGCTGGATGGACCAGCGGGTTGTGAGGCTGGTAGAAGATGCAGAGACACTGTTGGAGCTCGGCAGAGGGAGGTACCTGGGGCAGGTGTCTCAGGCTGTGAAAGAGTGCAAAGGACAGAACACACTGTTCCTAATGGAGATACTGGAGGATCTAAAGTCTCGGGGGAAAGAACTAGTGGCTCATCTGTGACAGGCTCAGGCTCAATGGACACTGGCACTGATACTTTTATGCACATCCTGTGACAAAAGGGCATCTGCGCCAGTTATATACAACTGCTCATTGTGTGGTCGTACAATTCACCAAGGCCTTAAAATGTACACTGGCAACAAACATGTTCTGTATGCATCCAAAATAGTGTGGCCTTCTCTGTTTCTTTCATTCAGGTATTTGGGTTAGCAGGTGAAGTTAGATGTATGTTCATTTCCTCAGAGATACCATTTTATACTCAGTTGATTGTAACTATAGTTATATTTTTTGCTACCTTGTTTTGGTTTAAAATGTTTTGTACTGTGCAAATATATTATAATATAAAGTATTTATGGTGAATGTTTTCAGTTGCTTGTTTTCATAGGAACACTAACATTTCTGTATAGACTGTTACTACCTGTTTTCTACAGGTTTAAATATAAAGTTGTTTTTCACTTGTTAATAACTGTTTACAACAAAATAAACAAACATAAATGAACTGACTGTTACACTCCCACACTATGTGTAATATTTTATAACTGGTAAGTCAGGGGAAATGGCGACTGCAGTTTCAGGCTGAAAGGTGCGCTGACAGATGGAGAGAACTGGTTTTACTTTTCCACTGTGGCCCCCCACATGAAGCGGGGGCCACAGTGGAAAAGTAAAACCAGTTCTCACACAAGTCATCCTGGTTTCCAGGGGTCTCAGCCACTCACACACAGACAGCAGTGAGAAATGAGCCACTTCCTGAAGCTGAACATGGATGAAGTGAGGGGATTAGATCTGCGTGTTGGGGTGGGTCAAGTGGGCGATGGAGCAACAGAGGTGAGGAGAGGGGGATTTGAACGTGAATTGTAAGTGTAGTCGGTGTCTGAGGCTGAGATGAACGCTCCTATATTCCCTTTGCTTCTGCCTTAAAAATGAGCTTGTCGAACAGAAAACAAATTTTGCTATAATGCAGACACTGCAGAAGATGATAAAAAATATTTAATCTCATGTTTCTTTTTTCTTTCAAAATAAGCGACATACATCAGGTGCATTTGATTTTCTCAAACCAGAAATATACATCTCATTTTCTTTCACCCCTACCCACGTCTCAGCTCCAACAGTATTCCTGTCCTGAACTGTCACTGGTCAGAACTGGGCACACGAAAATGATGTCACAGGCAGGCAACATTGCAGGCAGAAAAAGACAGATCTTAGAAAATGAGGCAGGCATACACCTACTTTACAATATCATCACCAGACTATCAACAGGCATACTGTATAAAATACAACCATAAATTAATAAGTAGTTAGCTATGTACAGTATCATTTAAAAAATAAAGTCTCATTTCAACCCGGTGCAAATAAAAGTGCTTTTTTTTCCTTTACAGCTGTCAGTCTGATACATTCCTTTATATAATTTATTTTTCTCTTCAACATACAAAATAAAAACACTTTGGTTTGCTTGCAAACAGAACCAAAACCAAATGACAACAAAAAAGACAGCATTTGGATGCAATACCACACAATAGTCACCACAATTTGCTGTAAAATAACTACATACAGTAGTAGACACATACATATCAGGTATTCAAACAGTCCCTTCAGGCATTATAAAAAGCCATCCTTCATGAGCCACAGAGTGTGTTTGTTGAGGAGGCTATAATCAGTCTGCGACGCCGCTCTTCGGGGACAGTCTGTTATTGTCTTTCAAGTGGATTCCTCAAAACAACAAAACAAAATCAATGGCCCTCTGGAGTGACAGATCCGAGCCTGTTGATATTTAAGCATGGAGATGGATGGGTAAAGAGGGAGGCAGCGAGCAGGAGAGCAGGGAGGTGATGGCAAGCAGACAGACAGGCAGGGCGAGAGGATGACAAAATGGCAGAGGAGAGCTCTAGTTGCTGCTAAGGGGGTTTAGAGTGATAAAGATAGACAGACAAACAGACAGACAAAGGGGGGGGGTAAAAGGGAACAAAAAGATGTAGGGGGGGGGTTTTGGGGAGGGTGGCGGCAGCAGGGATCAGTAGGATGAGAGGAGACCTCCTCAAATGTAGCCTGAGCTGTGATCTTTCAACAGATGCTCAACCAGAAGCCCAGGAGACCGTCCCTTCAGACAGGGTCGCAACCCCGCTCACTGACGAATGAGGGAACCGCAGAGAGAGCAAACGGAGAGCGGCATGATGGGAGGAAGGATATGAAATAGCATAAAAAAAACACACACATACACACACGCACATCCCTCCATCCCTGACATCTCAGGCCTAAGTCCCCTCAGAGCCTTGTCTTGTCACACAGCGACTTGCTGCTCATCTAGCTGACGGCCTTCTACACCAGCACACCAAATAACAGCTGGCACTTCTGCTTCTCACACGCACACACACACACACACACACACACACACTCACTCATTCACACACCAACCAACTGAATCTACACATCAGTCTACAGCTGGAGGCGAGATACAATTGTAACACACACCAACGCTGAGAAAAGCAACATGTCTTTGATTGCATAAACATGTATACGCAAACACTCTTGCACAGTTCACATATACAAGCCTCTGTCTCTGGAAAGACAGATCAAAGTTGAGCTGTGGGCACAGGAGGTGGGGCAGATGGAGAGGGCGGCCAGCCTGGGGCACAGCATCACAGAGAGCATGTTTGTGTGAGTGCGTGTGTGTGCCTGAGAAAATGTGCCTGCTCAAATGGGATGTTATGTTTTCATCTGTGAGCAAGTAGGTGCAGTATCTGTACGTGAGCAGTGTATTCACGTGAGAGGGTGTTTTTTTTTGTGTGTGTGTGTGTGTGTGTGTGTGTGTGTGTGTGTCTGCATGCTTGTGCATGCGTGAATGCTCTCGTGTGTGGCCGCCGAGGCAAACACACAGGGAGATGAGAGGAAAGGAGACCAGCCTTTCAAACAAGATTAGGGCTGTGGCTGCCTAAAGGCCTGCCTGCCTGGCGACACTCTGCATAGACTGGGTGACATCTATATTAACACCACGACAGCAGAAGGCCCAGTCTGCTGCGCCTCCTGACAGACAGAGAATGTGGATCACTGACTGTCTGTCTGACTGACTGACTGACTGATAGATAGAGGTTTTGACATGTTTTAAAGGAGGCTAAGTTATCTGGGCATTTAATAGTGATAAATATTTAGGGCATAACACTAACTGTCTAATTCTTAACAGTATTGTTCTTTTTTCCTCTGGGTAATATTTAGTGATGATTATGTAATCACTATCTCTTTTAAGAAATACAGACTCACTGTACTTTAAAATAATATCACTGTCCACTGTGGTTTGATTTTTTTGTTTTGGAGTCAAGTCTTTAGAAAAGCTAATTTGGGCATTGTTTGAAAGCACAGACAGATACCACCACAAGCCTTCAGCTTGTTGGTCCAGTTTTGTGTTTGTGTAGAAGGACATATCTGGAGGCTACCACTGTAATTGCTAATCAACTTGGCTGGCTGAGTTAAGTGCAGGCAATCCAAATTACTGCCAGCGAACATAACATCATTACCACATCCAAGAGGGGAAGAAAACAAAGGATACTTCAGTACAAAAACAATTAGAAAATATAAACATATTACCAAACTCATTTAATAAGTTCAATACGAGAAAAAAAACACTTAAAAGTCCTTTGCAGATTGATAACGCAGAATGTTAGTATAAGGCTCGTATTTTGATAAACATGGATGCACTGATTATGTCTTCTTGGGACAGTGAGTATAAATGTTCAAATTCATTGTACTCATTGTGTGACACTTGTGGCGAGCGAATGGACAGAGTCCACCAAGCTGTCAGGGTGATGGAGAGAAGAAACCAGGAGAGTGGCTCACACGGCTGATAAAAAGGTCATCCCAGCCATCATTCCCACTCGCCTTTAAAATCAATCAAAAGCATAATGGTGATAATAATTCATGGGATTTCATGTCTTGTTTTATACAAAATTACACATCAGGAAACTGTACTGTACATCATGAGTAATTATAGACAGAAAAAAAGGGTTAAGAGAAGAAAATAGGAAAGACAAAAGGGAAGGACAGTTGAGCTGAGCTGGTCCAGAGCCGTCTACCTCTGCTCCTCAGTGTCCAGTAATAGACAGAGTGAAGAAAAGTGGAGAAGAGAGGAGTTGGTGGGCGGACACAGTCATCTACCCGGGGTTGTTTTTCTTCCTTTTATTTGGACTGGGATTGGGATCCAGTTTCAGCTCTCGGTACTGCACCTGTTAAAACACACAGAAACACACATGGAAGCACGCGCACACGCACAGCCGCATGCACACACGCACACAAACACACACCACCCGGTCAGGTGGAAAGAGCAAAGGATGCTTGAATAGCACAGAAAGCCTCCAGAGGCTCTCTGAGTCCAGCTGTGTGGAACAGTGGCCTAGGGGAAGGGATTACACACTGATTACAACACACACACGCACGCACGCACGCACGCACGCACGCACACACACACACACACACACACACACACACACACACACACACACACACACACAGATGCTCATGAAGACATTCACATGCACACACACAATCCATGTACACTGTTCAAAGCTCCAAATACACTCATGCTCGCACACAAATATACACGTACGCACTTACTTCCACAGATGTGGAACAGTGGCCTAAGGGAAGGGATCACACAAACAAACAGAGAACAGGGCAAGGGCTCATGGGAAAGCTTGGAGAGACAACAGAGTCATCTCAGCATGGCAAGATGGTGAGGAGAGAAAGGGCAGAGAGATGGGCGGGAGACAGAAGGTAAAAAAAAAAGAAAGAAAATGAACCGTAACCTTTGAAAACCGAAGTCTGTGCTTAGCTGCTAGTTATACTAACTACAGTATCAATACATTACTGATCAGGTGTAGCTTGACATATGCTGTGCTGTGTTATTAGGCACAAAATCATTAACCCTCAGTTTCTGTGCTGTTGAATAAAGAGCCAATTATTAAAGTTGAGCAGATAGACTTAATTCACTGGTAAAAACCCCTGTCTATTAGAAAATGTACATACATGTGATCTACTGGTCAGAGAGGTTAACAAACAGGCACGCTAGATATTTTCATCGTTTCCATCATTCATGGTACAAAAAAATAGAAAAGAATGATAATGTACAATTTCCTCTACATCTTTTTCTGTCCACTCAAACTCAAAAGTACAGCAGTCTGTCTGTGTGGAGCTTCCCTTCTTAATGAGTGGACCCTAGAGAAGATCTGAGCTGATGAGGCTCCTGTCTGTCAGCCATTAACTTGGAGCTACAGACAGCTGGAGGAAAAGAGTGAATTTCTACATTTGAAGGTAGCTGAAGGCATCACACAGCACTTTTTTTGAACACTCCTAATAACAAGGATGAAGTTTACTTTCTTTAAAGCTTCATGTTATGTTTTGTTAACAGTTATGTAAGTAGAAGATGAAAAAAAACTCAGATTTTCTGTATGCATATCTACATACTCTATGGCCCCAATTAAGCCAGTCTTTATGTTAAGCTAAGCCAACCAGCTACGAACTGTAGCTTCATATTTTCATATTCATATCTTCTCATCTATCTCACAGCAAGAAAGCGAATGAGTGACTTCCCCAAAAATGTCACCGCTATTCCCTAATACAGACATTTTAGTGGCACACTGCAATCACTTCAGAATAGGTTCAGCATTATCACTGAGGGACTGTCACCTATTTCTCCCTAAGGGAACTGATTCCCACTTGACGTGATGCTTTGCAAAGATGGTGAGCAGAGTTTAGAAAGAAACTGCTCTTAAGTGAGGGACACTCAGACGCAACAGCATCACAGTGGCTGAGCGTCAACAACCAGAGACTGTCACTCTGGCAGTCTCTCGCTTTCAGCACAAATACAGTCGCTAGCCTAGACAGATTCACGACACTGACAAGCACTAGCCACTGAATCAGAATACTAATAGAATAAAAAAAAAAAAAAAAAAAAAAAAAAAAGACTTAACAGTCACAGCACCAAAGAGCCAGTATTGTCTGTGGGATCCCTCCTAGGCTGATGTACTGTAGGCTACTCTTCCTGTCTGACTGACTGACACCCTCTCTGATTCTCCAGGCAGACAACAAACTGACGTCAATATGGTTTCTGTGTTCTGTCTCATGGTGGGTCTGTCTGCCGTGGACGGGAACAGCAGCGTCTCTCAGTGCTGGCTGGGAACGAGCCTTTATCATCCATCTTCTACTGGTTCCCACTGTCGCTTCAGTGACGCCTTCCAATATCCTCTGCCTGCAATGTACAAATCCGAGATCCAAAGAGATGTGTGTGTGTGTGTGTGTGTGTGTGTGTGTGTGTGTGTGTGTGTGTGTGTGTGTGTGTGCTCAAAAATGAAGACACACACTTACATATATGAATACTGACAAAAAGAATGTACACACATACATCCCTGCACCTCCCTCATCACGCAGAAACACAACACCCTGCCATCACCGTATCATTAAAATCCCATAAAAATCCACACACTGTATGTACACACATATGCAGTGGGGTATTTTTGTTCCTCTGTTTCACAGTGGTGGTCACCAATGTCCCGTTAAGGTGCTTACAGGGTGGTTAGGCCAGCATGTGTTGCTCTCTACGCCTCACTAAGCAGCCAGACTGCACTGATTCCTCACTGTCCACAAGGCAAACTAACATCCTGCTAAACAGCTGTACAAATACAACCGGTTTGTTGGATACAGTGAGAGAGAAGGGAGACCTGGAGATGAGGCGACGAGGAGGAGGCAATCCAGGTGGAGAAAACAAGGGAAGGAAGGAATGATGAGAAGCGAGAGAAAGAAGGGACAGAAATGTACAGAAAGATGAAGGGAGGAAGGGCAGAGAGCGGGACAAACCAACAAAGGAAACTGGAGGGAAAACAATGAGAGAGAAGAAGAGACTGGGTGAGACGGAGGGAGATCAGTGGACATTCGGGTGATGACAGATACTGTTCTCATGTGGGTGTGGATCCTTTTATAGCCCTTCCAACTAAAGCAGACAACGGAGCAAAAACCCATGGGACAGAGAGGGGTTTATATGGCCCCATCTGTGTGTGTGTGAATGTGTGTGCGTGTGCAGTGGTAGTTGGGTTAAGGGACCATGACAGTCCTGGCAGAGTGCCCGCATTGACTGCGATCAATGACAGTGGTGCATTCATGGATGAACATGTGAGTGAATGGTTGAATGATTTAATTCACTCATGAGTAAAGGAGTAACAGCACATCTGCATGTAGCGCAGTAACAGGGACACATATCTGTTAATATTAAATAATTGCACGCAAATTCACAAAAAAAATCCACCTTTATCAAAATGTTTCTCCGTATGAATTCTCAATCATTGTTTGCCGCAAACTTCAAACAAGCTACCATGGATCCAAAAGTAGGACAGATATCGTACGGGATCATTGGCTGTTAGTGGTCCCATTATACGGCCAAACGCCTACAGCAGCAAAAAGGAATACGGCAATTTAATTCTGAGCATTGACATTCCTGTCCAAACAAAACTCTTTGTCAGTGCAGACACACAAAGAAAAGTTTGCATGTCAGTAGAAAATAGGGTTTTGTTTCTCATGAAGAGCAGCGAAGGGGATCGACAAAAAGAAAGGGTGCGGGGAAAAAACAATATCTCAATCAAACAGGAGTTTCTCTGTGAAGAGCTGCCAGCCAGGAGAAATGGGGCTCATGCGTCACAGGTTCAGTTCCACCTTACAGGTGACAGGCCTGCCTGATGCTATACCCTTGGCTCCCCACTCACCTCACCTAATAACACACACACACACACACACACACACACACACACACACACACAAGCTAACACACACACAGGTACCAACCTAATGCAGACAACAAGAGCTAGTTAAAGTTAAAAACAGAGGAAAAGGCAGAGGAGGCGAGGAAAAAGTGGGACGTTAGCGAAATAAAAGAAACTGAAATTGGGTGAAAGTAAAAAGTGAGGTAATGCGGCGAGCACATAAGCAATTTGGTACACGAGCGGGGAGCTTAAAGGGAACATCAACAGAAGAGGCAGTGGGTAAAGACCCAGCGCTGCTCAAAGGCTGCTCCACCCTCGCTCCTCTCCTCTCCTATCCCAAATGTTGACAGTACAAGTGCAAAACAGGCTTTGAAGTGTGCTCTGCTGAAGGGGCGCCGTGTACCATGCATCGTGCTTCGTTTAACGGTGTTACCCACAAAGCATCCCGGGACCTGCTCCTCTCTCTCTCAGTGTCTCTCACTCTCTCTCTCTCCCTCTCGCATTGAACCTTTGACAATGTTTTGATGATGCCGGTGTGGGCAGACAGACAAGGCGAAACCAAGGTGGGTGACAGTGAGTCAAAAAAGGCAAACAGAAAAGTAAATAAATGAAGTCAATATAAAGCACGGGAGCTACATTTTAATGATACTATGTTATTCTGTTTTTTCCGGTCCTTTCCACAGAGCACAGAACTCAGCAGGTTTCATCTCATGTGATGCCTAACGGAGCATAAGGGTTATTAAATGTTTCCAGGGAAACACTATTGTGTACAGTTCAGACATCTGCACATTGGAGGATTCAGCACTTATGTCTATTGTTGGGAAAGAAAAGGCATGTCAAGGTGACATAAGCCAGTGAGCAAAAAAGAAAAAAAAAAATTACAAAGTAAGGGAAGTTTTGCCTATTAGCTGTTGTGGCATGACACATACTGAATAGTGACTAATTGGCCACCTCCAGTGAAATGTTTAAATTTGTCACAAAAGTGTGGAAGGACAAACTAAAGGAGAGAGAGACCTCTGCTAGACATGAGTGATGGCGTCTGGCAACATTTCAACCTTTAACTATCCTGCCTTTGACCCCTGTACGTCCAGCGAGGTTTCATCCCCAACATAAATGTTGTCTAAAAATATTAACCCAACTCCCCGCTGTTCATTAGGCGCTAAATTGGAATTCATGCTTATTTTTGTACTTGGGGTTTGATCCAGCTCCTTTACACCAATCATAAAGGGCCGTTTTGGCAAGCTAATTGCCTTGGCCCTACTTATGCACTCCGTAGCTCACTTGGCTAATGGTGTCGTAAAACATACTAGTGCACTGACACCTCCAAAACGCCAGGTAGGGAATACTTAGCACTATAAAGGTGCTCAGCTTGGCCTCGTTTAAGAGGACATGAAGGATTCCCTGATAATGACCATAAAGATAGCTTACGCTGGTCAAATATAACCAGATACAAGAAACTGTTACCCAGAGAGAGGCAGCAACTCTTTCACGCACACACGCACTACACACCATGCCAGTCCTTAACATTGCTGCTCACAGAGGGACGTAATGATTTAAATAAACTGTCCACATGGTAAAAAGGTAGCTCTGCCTGTTGCAGCTTCCATGCTTTAAAGGGTGTTTGGCAGTGCAGTTAGGGGCCTTGTGTCAGTGATTTGAAAAGCTTGGTTTGTAGTAAAGCACCTTCCACTAACTGTATGACTGATGAGAAATGAGTGTTGTTGCTGCTAAATGCAAAGTTTCTGTTATGTACTTGAACTCTAAACACAAATGAAAGATGAGAAAACTGAGTCCAAAAGCTGTTACACAGTTGCTGTGTTGCTGTACCGCTATATACAGTACGTAATGATGGTCTGTGGCCCAGTGTGGTTGCCCTTTGCATATAAAGTCATTAGAACCTCATCAGTTCTGGCTGCACTGAAGCCCCTCCAAATGATGCGGAACAGTACCCTGAAACACCCCCAACCCACATCACATGTACTATTGCTGGGAGAGCATGTGTGTGTGTGATTATGTATGTGTGTTAGGTCACACCGGGGCCTTGAAATAGCACTTCATTAGTCATCCAGGGTGTCAGGCATAGTAGGCCCCTGCACGAATGCCAATGGGTGCCATGGACACGTGCCCGTGAGGGGACGCTCCATTTGGACCCCAGCACCTCTCTGCATCATCCGAGAGCCTCAAGGGCTTAATCCCCACAGACGACTTTGACCCAGTAAGGCGAGGGCAGGCAATGAGGTGAACCCACCACCGGAGGCAGCGGCGGGACGCACCGCAGAGCAGAACGTTCTGGTCTGTTTTTAGCCAACGACCGCAGAGCAGGGTTTCTTCGTAGAAAACTAACCTTTGGATTCAATGGAGAAGTGGTCTTAGTTCTTTATCAGCTGACTGAACAGTGATTCTAAATTTCAATGACCTTATTTTATTGATACAAATAAGACTACCCTGACTTAAATAATCAAACTAAACTCTACTTGCACTTTCTGCACTCCTCATTCCTCCCCTCATTTCTCCATTTCCATCTTCGTCTTTCCGACCATTATCTATTCTTACCCCTCTCCCCTGGTCTTTCACCCACATTACTCAGAAAACCTTCAAACTCAGTGAAACCTGGCAACAATTACCATTCCACCAGCTGCAGCAATAACTGTTACAGTAGCACTTACAGTCTTACTTATACAGTAGGCACAACTCCAGCAGTACGGGCACCAGACCAGAGCAGCATGTCTGCCCCGACCTTCCCTAGCCAGCAGGCACTCATTAGGGGCCTTGTAAAGGCCTCGTACCTGCCGGGCCTGGGCCCCCTTCACCACTCCGCTCCTCCAGGCTCCAGGTGTGTAAGGTGGCTGCACTTTACCAGAGGGGACAGCTTGGGCTCATTTAAGCAAATGGCTACCTGCCCTGTGCCTACTGCTGCAGCAGGCCCCAGTAAACTATGAGACTGTAAAACTGCACGGGGGCCGAAAGGGGGAGAACACGGGGGGCTGGCAGGGGTGTGTAGGGGAGCAGGGATTATGACCCTGTAAAGATGAAAGAAGTTGCAGGCAACAAGCGATCAAAGAGGAAGTGTGTCAGCACTGATGTGGCAGGGGATTGGTCTACTGTGGCCCCGGGTCGTTCAGCCTCAGCCTGCATGTGTGTGTATCTGTGCGTTCATGTGTGTGTGTGTATCGAACTCGCCACAGCAGGGCTTAACAGCCACAGCGGACGCCACCGGTGCTGGATAACACAACGACTTTCACAAGCTGCCGCTTAATTGCAGTTTAAACTGCACTTTGTCCTGAGCAGCACAGCACGTTACATTCCATACACGCACACACACATCTACGCAAGTATATTTTACCTAACGAAGCATCTGTACTCTTCAGCCACAGAGTTAATCTGATCTCACGGTTAATGTAGAAGCAAAACCGCATGGGGCTGGTTAACTGTTGGTTTACACTCTGTTCCAATTACTAGCATAGCTGGGAAACAACAGCTTACTGTAATTGTGTGCGAGTGTATGTGTATGGAGTCAATCAACCTAGTTATATGCTGGGCACTAAACTCACTTAACCTTGTTATCATATTACACAGCTCCAGCTATGTATGTGGAAATTGAATTAGACTAGGAAGCTATTAATAGGAAAACACAGAAACGACTTTGAAACAATTAGATTAGATGTCTGTGTGGCTAAAACAATGGATAGTCAGTTAACCCTAAATGAAAAATACAACAGTGAAGAGCCAGCGCCTGAGAGGAGGAAAAAGAAAGACGACAGACAGACAGCAGATGATAAAAGGAGCCCTAACCCTTGCCCGTGTCTGGAGCTGACATATGTGTTGTCAAAAGGACAGAAAAGTTGAGGCAAAGAAGAAAAAGGAAAGTTCACCCACCACTTGTACATCTGAGGGCACTCTGGAGAGAAAGTCTAGCAGCTCGTTGTTGTCAATGGTATAAGGGTCTCGCAGCTTCTTGGTGAATTTATTCACCCCTGTGGAGACAAAAACAGCGAGGGCAGGCAGGGAAGAGTTGGGGAAAGACAGGTGGACATCAGCACCTACTGTAAACAAGATGTTAGAACCTTTAAACCTGAAAATTTGCATGGCACTCACTGAGAGTGTCAGGAAAAGTTTAACTCTGACTTCAATACTGTATATAAAAAAGCAACATGGAATACAGACATTGCATTGCTGTGCCACAGATTTACTTAGATACTGTATTTACATTTAACTATACATTTTAAATCAATTACACTTGCAGTACATAGAAATAAACATTACACATTTTTGACATTCGCTCACCCCAGATCAACACAATGTATCGTAGAGGGATGAAGTAGATGATGGTGGTGGCCACTCCGAGAGCCACAATGGCCAGCCAGCTTAAGAAAGGCACAGTCCAGTTAAATGTGCTGCAAAGAGAGTGGAAAATGCGACTTTAAAAATTAGGAGACATGGCAAATATCAGTCCAGCCAAACATACTGACAAGTAAAGTAAAGAGGAGTCAGGGAGGCCATTTCAATACTTTTCAACCCAAACAATCTAATCTGGATATGTCTACACTACAAATTCTTCACACTCACTGGAATTGTGCAGAGGGAAATAAGTTCACCCCAAAGTCTTAGAGGTCACCATTGCAAGGTGAAAATGTGTTATGACTCAATGCTATTCATGCTATCTAATCAGTAAAATGCTCTCAGCTTTACAGAAACATGGGTCACAGATGTTTCAGTTTGATTTAAAATGTTTTTACCTGTAATTGAAGAAAGAACCTGTGGCCTGACTCTTTTCTCACTACAGCTTTTAATCAAAACAAAGTCTCTTGCCTTCCATTTGCTTTGAAAGCGTCTACGTGAAAGTGAGGGCCACTGGGTATGCAGGAGTGTACAGTGCAAATAAATGGTTTTGCGTGTGTGCTCATGTGGATTGATGTGTGTTTAATCAAGAATGTACATGATTCAGTTAAGAGGTCATGCAAGGTTAAGTGAGATGTGATGGACATAAAGACAGACTGCCTGTGTTTGTGTCTCAGGGTTGGGTGTCATGCTGGCAGTGTTTCCTGAGAGCAGCACTGAGTTATTCTCAGTTAGGCTGGCAAGGGGAAGTGGGGCAACCTGGCATTGTGGAAAAAACACTGGGACGTGCGGAGCAGAGCAGAGCGGAGCGGGCCGGGTGCCGAGGAGCGGGCTTACGACTCACTTCTTTATCCTCTCGCCATAGGAGGCCACTTCATCCAGTGCATTCTGCACGCTGATGCACACGTCCTGAATGGCATAAAGCTTGTTCATGAAGCCCTTTCTCTCCGAGTCCTGCAAGAGGACAGATAGAGATGTAGGCGAGGGAGAAAGAAAGCAAGGGTGAGCGAGGAAGGGATGGGGTGAGACAGAGAAGAGACGGGAGGAGAGAGAAAGAGGAGAGAGAAGACAGTGGCTGGGCACAGGCATCTTTGCGAAAACAATACATTTTAAATAGCGTCAAAGATCTGGAGTGGGGAGCCAAATCACCGGATATCCTGCATGAACTGACGGAGTGCTTTCATTCCAGCCAGTAATAGAGATATAAAGTCGGCAGAACAAATCAAAATGTTTTCCTCCTTACAAAAGCTCACACAGGAAAATTTGAATATGTGAATAGAGAGGCAGAATTAAACTGAAAGCCGAATGGATACATCAATCTTTGGGCGCTCTTTCTCTCTCCCTTTCTCTCTGCTGCTGCCAAGACAGCTAGGAAGACCGGGTAGAGCCCGCTTTTGTTCTGCTGGCTGGCACACTGTGATGATGTCACCAGCCGTGACATCATTATCATCCTTATTAACGCCGTCACCCACCATGAAGAGCTCTTCCTTTTCAACTTTTGATGGTTGAGAACTTAAGAATATTGCGAGGAATGGGGGGGGGGGAACCACAAACTAGGCAAGGCAATCTAAAATCTACAATCCCCCGCCCTCTCACTGAAACAAAGTGAAGAATTTAAGAAGTCATGCAACAGTCAACGAGCTGCCTGCTGACTGACTGACAGGCAGGGACAGGATGAATCTGGACAGAATGAGGTGACAGAGAGTGATCGAGAGCCGTTAGCTGAGTGAGGACATCAACACGCAGACTGGCTGTGCCTGGCTGTGATTGGTGGGCATGCTTGGGAGACAAAAGGAGGGCATAACAAGAAGAGGAGGACTATCTAATATAGTGGTACTATCATGAGTGGTCAGTTTACAATATGGCAATAGCAGGGGAATATGAACAAAGATTTTCATCAAGTTCCAGTACGTAACCACGCCAGCAAGTAAACAACCCTGAAAATTCTTCATCTTGCTGATATAGTGACAATAAGTGGAGGAGGGAGTGGGGGGTTGGGGATGCTGGTATTCTCTCAGTGGATAAATTGATGTGCCCTTTTCCCCTATTGTTGAGAGTATTTGTTTAACACTTGCGAATGAAAATGAATTGAATGACTTAATGACTCCAGAAACCTTCAGAGTCCAGATAAGAATCTGGATTTTATGCAGCTCGGATAAATAAGGATATTACGCAGCTGTTTGAAACTTTAATTAACTCCAAACAGGACAAAAAAGATGAAAAGTTAGAAAAGTTTAAGAGAAACCAAAAGATTATGGTATAACCCTCCACGGCCACTGACTATTTATCATTTGTTAGAGTAATAGCATGTGTAGCAATGGCTGTGTTATTGATGAAGATGGATGGACATTGTTAGATTAGAGAAGTAAAACTCTGACTAATCCTTATCATTATACCCAAAGAAGACAGTGAAGCAGTCAAAGACATGAAACCTCCAGGACCCCAGAGGACTTTACCACATTTTGCTCCTTGCGGCCAGCCCCCCCACCTCACCACAACCCTCCCACTGAGACCCAAACCCACCCTCTTCTTTTTGCTCTCCATCCAGGATCAGATAATGTGAAAAATGAACCATAGAGCAGTCAGGGAGACCACATGGCCTCCCCAGCAAAACCACACAAGACAAATAGATATAATTAGACAGCGTCCCTGGGTTATTTTTCTTCGCAAATATTTTACAAGACTCCCTTTCTTTCTTCCTCCCTCTCTCCTCCTCTTCTCAGTTCTTTCCTCAGAGTCCATCTGTTTTTCATTGCTCGCTCAAACAAATCTCAGAACGCAGGGTCTATTGTGCTGGGCTGGGTTAGGCCAAGCCGAGCCGGGCTGGGCCAGGTCAGGCCGTTTTATTTTCGGGCCCGGACTCAGGGGAGAGTGTTTGAGGGCCAGGGGAGTGGTGTGAGAGAGCGGGCGGGGGTGGAGAGGATAGATCAGAGGTCACTGGAGTATAAACCATTGCCACATGCCCCTCGGACTGCGGTCTGACTCCTATTTCCTGTCTTCAAACACGGCTCGGGGAGGCGGGAGGTAGCAATAACACAGAGGGCCACGGAGAACCTTGTTTTCCCAGCTTCCCCGCACACTGCGCACATATGGAGCCAGGCAACCTGTTCTTATAATGCAACCTAATATGCACACAAACACACACACACACACACACACACACCCTAAAGCTATTAGATAAGGTTGATCCGCACACCTGGTCTTGCTGTGTGACTCTACAAACGATATTACATCCCGACACAGATTAGACGATGACTTTAACAAGCAGTTTCTTTCATACTGAGTAAATTTGTTTTACACTACAATGTCATCAGCGACAGAAAGGGACCTGATACAGAAAGATGAAGAGAGAGACAGAGCATTCAAACGTCACAGCCAAGGTTAAATGAAGTTTTCTGTTGATGTAGATATTTAACAAAATCGTGAAATATTTGAACCAGGGATAGAGATTCATCACTTGTATCACGAGTTAAATCAAGGACTCAGTTTTGTCATGCTTTCTGCGGTTTTGTGAAGAATGTGTGTACATGTGTTAACCACTAGCTCACATGCAATTTGTGATGAGAACATGGTTTTTCCAGTCCAGACCAGCTTCCAGTCCCACTCAGGAAAAGGAGCAGGGTCTTTACAGGAGACTCAAGGCCTGTATTTCCATCTGTCTCTTCCTGTGCCTGTCAGGGAAACTAAGTGGGTTTGTTTGGAGACCTGAAGGCAAGGCTAATAAAAAGAAATCTCTGAGGTCTCTCGCTTTGACTTGGCTTCAGTTGCGAGTCATGTTAATGCTCAAAGTATGCTACAAATCCCAGCACCTCTGACAACAGTGGTCTGATTGATGTTGCTACATGTCTTGAATCATTCAGACAGATAGTGTAATAAGCCTGCCTAATGAGTTAAGCATCATGCATTATAATAGACTGCAACTGTAGGTTCATCTGCAGTGTGTTACGCTGACATGTTACAGTAACCGCCTGTTCAGTCAGTGTACTACAAATTATCACTGCCGTCAGACGACAGAACATTCATTCTTGACGATTTCATCTGCTGTAAGACTTTTCTGTCAGGTGCACATACCGTGTTTGCCTGAATATGAAGTATAGTACAGTACACTACATATACCACTATGTGCAATGTCATTAATTCCACTTAAAAAATGAAAGCAAATCTGATACTGAGATTAATCCTAAAGATCAATGGCTTGCTTTCTGCAATAACTACATCTGATATAAACCAAATGCACCATACAAAGGATGACTGTATATACTATACAGCAGGAGCAATAATATTAAATGAAAAAAAAAAATAGATATGCAAGAATATCAAAACATTGAAAATAATTTAGCATTCCCAGTTGTGAGTTGACTATATCAGAAGTAAGAACATATAGTGTTTTGATTAATTTTTTGAATGCCCATGACCATCAGTGCTCTGCTAATGCAAAACATTGATTTGTATGCCTCTAATACACACACCAGAGTGTCTATCTAATAAAAATACAAAGGAATCTTGAGGGCTTTACACATTCCTCTGTCTTTATTATTCATTCTCTTTGTCTTTTCCTGTCTGGTGGTTTATCTCTCTTTTGAAAAACACATTTGTTTTATAATCTACTGTATAGCAAAGGGTCAGAGTGTGATGTGAGTTCTGGGTAAAGTCAGCAGAGCAGCATACTACTGTGTATCAAATGAAAAACTGCACCAAGACAGTCAGTTCGTCCAATGAATAAAATGTTTCTATGTACAGAAGAAATTCTCTGACATCAATTAACTCTCATCAGGCTGGTAGCAGAAATATTTACTGAGTCTCTGTCCTTTGTTGGCAGTGAGTTGCATGTTTTAATTGCATGTATGCCAATTTAAAGACAATAAATACATTTTTTTTTGGTTATGTCCAAAGTTTGCATCATTGTTTGGATGTGTGGACTGTGATATGAAATCTCAGCCAAGCACCCATCAGCTTAGCACTGAGCTACCCTGTGTAAAAGTGTGCGGAGCAGGCTGCATCATGGGAGTGCTCCCATCAGGGAAGACAGAGGCGGGAAGGCTCGTTAAAGTGATGCGAGTTGTTTGCATGTGTTAAGGAGAAACAACCCTCAGTGACACCAGAGAGAGCCCAGGGAGAGACAGACAGACACACAAACAAACACACACACACACACACAACACACACACACACACACACACACACACACACACACACACACACACACACACACACACACACACACACACACACACACACACACACACACACACACACACAAACACACCTAGAAACAGCAAACTCAGGCTAACCACATTGCACTTGCTGGTAAATTGTGGTAAACAAATGTGGTAAACTCCTTGAAACACTTGATTAAATATTTAACAAAGGAATGATGCACAATGCCTCTGTGTACTCCAATGCTCCATTTCTCTTTCAAAGAGATAGCATCATGGCTGAGTACATCTATATGCAAAAGTGCAAAGTGAGCAGTTGTAAACTTTGCAAAGACAGTTTGTTCTTCACTGACCCAAGGCCTAGAGCTAAACAAGAGAGAGGTCACTGAGGACTTAGCCTGTTACAATGGACTCAAATATCTGTCCTATATCTACTAGGTGGAAATAGAGAGAGCCATTAGAGACTGTTTTAACCTCTGATCACATTGTTCTCCCTGCTGGGTTATGCCATAAAAATGATAAACCTAACAGTTATAATGCAGCAGCATATATCCCATCACACCACGAAATGAGTCTGAACCACAAGTGGCTGCTGCTCATTGCTGCTGTGCTAAAATTGCACCTGTTTTTCTTTGTTTTTCTTTTTTCCTCTCTCGCTCTGGCAGCACAGTAAAAATTGAAATGTCATATAAAACGTGACAGGATGCTAATATGTGGCTCCCAGAGGGCATCTGAAAGCGTTCTTGTTGATTTTGTAACTGCAGAGAGAGTCAGTATCCCTCCCATTTCCACCCCAGG